TGAAACATATGAAACATGAAATATATGAAACATATAAAACATGAAACATATGAAACATGAAATATATGAAACATGAAACATATAAAACATGAAATATATGAAACATATAAAACATGAAATATACATGAAACATGTGAAATATGAAACATGAAACATATGAAACATGAAACATATGAAACATATAAAACATGAAACATATAAAACATGAAACACATGAAACCTGTGAAACACATGAAACGTGTGAAACATGTGAAACATGTAAAACATGGCAGATGATTGTCTGGAAGCTCCAGCTGTTTCTGTGGGTCAGAAACTGTCAACGACGAACTTTAAAGTGATTAAGAGACAAACGTGACACGCTACAATCAAACTGAGACCCAATGACAACACTGTGGGACTCGTTGTGACAAACAGCATTCCTAAGAAACGTGCACAGCTGTCGTGCACAAACCGTGAGATAAAACTTTCTGCTGCTGTTTTACAGCACAAACAGCTGAAAATGTTACTTTAGAAATCTAACAAAGTGACGTCAGCTCCTCTGGAGGATTGTTCTTGTAGAAATGTTTCGTCTTTTATCCAAAGGACTTCTTCAGTCTGAGGAGCTGCATCAAACTCAGTCTTATAAATAGCACCTTCTCATAGTGGATCAACCAGTTTGTTGTTGACATCCAGAACCAGCTGTTCACATGATAAACAGTTGATCGTTAGTGTCCTGATGGCCGCTTGCTATTCACAGAGGGCTGATGGTTCTCCTTTTAGTTCGTTAGCATTTTATTTAGAGATGCACAATATTATTGGCATGGTATCAGTCAATATTAGTGATAAAGTTAAATATTGGACATTCCATCAAAATAACTCACCGATATGAAAGGCTTCTGTTTAAAGTTAGTTTTTAATTTAAGAAAATGTCAAGTATATCTAGTAATGCACTACTACTTATGCACTTTTCATAAGTGCATAAGCAACACAGCTGCGTTGTCACTTGTGAACGGTTTTAGAACATTTACAAATTTGCAGTGTTCGAGTGTTGTCATGTTAGACCGAGTAAATGTCATGAATACATTTGACATTAAACATAATCCAAGTTAAAGTGTTGCATCATTTTCATCTGCATTTGGTAACAGGCCAAACTGACAAAGACCATGCAGAATAATTATTTTAATAAGTATTTTAATTCCACATAGGCCTGTCACAATAACACATTTTGCTGGACGATTAATTGTCTCAGAAATTATTGCAATAAATTAAAATATTGTTTGAAATTTAACAATAATTTGTAATTGTCAAATTTTAGAAGAAATGTTGATTAATTTGTTTTGAGTGTAGTACCTTTTGTTGACCACCAGATGGCAGTATAAGACAGTTTGAACTGAAGGATGGATAGCTGAGCATTGTGTCTAGAAGAAAAATGGGAGGGAGCCCCTTGATGTGACATGAAGGCTCAGTGTGGTTTGAGCTCTTCAGCATTTTTCCCACAAAGCTTTTAATAAAAACATCAGTAAACAAGTTCTCAGCTTCTTTTTGCAGAAAAAAACAATGTTTTACACGAAGGCACGGGTTTCAACCGTGAATTTGGAGCTTCGACAAGACAGAGGTTTCCCCCCCCCAGGTCAGCCTGTTAGCTTAGCTCGTAGCTTAGCTGCTTTAAACAATCCAAAAACATGATTTTGGACGATTAAACAGATTTTAAAGAAACGAGAAAGGGAGGGGGTCAGTGAAAAACACCGGAGCTGAGCCTTTTGTCATCCAGTGTCTTCAGTAGAAAGAGAGACACGAAGAAATGATAAAGCCGATAAATGAAAATTAGGTCGATAATTTTCATTTATCATGTGATTAATTGATTTATTGTTTATCATGACAGGCCTAATTCCACAGCAGAGCATGGAAGTAGGTTTAGGGGAAAAATATCGGTAATGGTATCGGTTATTGGCCAAATAAGTTTTAACATATTGGCATATCAGATATCGTCCAAAAATCCAATATCATGCATCGCTAATTTTATTTTTCCTCATTGTTATTTGGATTCTTTTAATTAATTAATTTCAATTCAGTTTCTTTATATAGCACCAAATCACAACAAAGTTGTCTCAGGACATGGACAGAAACATTCATCTACACAGAAAAGCCAGTTGGTAAAGTTTTCTATCTAAGGAATTACAATCTTGTTATTTGTTCCTTTAGTTCCGGCCTTGATCTCATTGTTCAGCACTGTGGTAACAGCTGACTTCATCATGTGAACAGCTAGTTGTGGATGTCAACAACAAACTGGTTGATGAGAAGGTGTTATTTATTGCAGCTCCTCAGACTGAAGAAGTCCTTTGGATAAAAGACGAAACGTTTCAACAAGAACGATTCTCCAGAGGAGCTGACGTCATTTTGTTAGATTTGTCTTCCTGGATTACTGAGCCGCATCAGATTATTTTTCATCACCTCCACCTCCATCAGTTTTGAACGTGAGGTGCAGCAGCTCGCTGTTCAAGGAAGCAGCAGGAATATGTTTAGAGAAGTTCTTGAAAAGTGTTTGTGCGCTGCTCTCACATGTCAGGGACCGGACGTGTCCAAACTAAAACTGTTTGTGTCCAACAGCTGCAGAGACACATGTTCTGGATCACCGGAGTCTGACGGAGGCGTCAAACTGTGGGTCCACACTGAACGTAAACACAACACTGGAAGCTCGAGCCTCGCCTGCAGACAGACTCCAGGACAAGAGTCAATCTGTTGTTAAACACAAGACAGAGCTAAAGACGCGTGGCAGCAGACAAGTTTAACCTTTGACCTGGTTTTAGCCACTTTGGCTGTTTCCAAAGGTAAGCAAACGTTTGCTAACAGTTTGTAATTTAAGCACACGTTGGATTTAGCTCATCAATCTGAATTAAACTCTTTTAGTTGTGGATCTGAGCTGCAGCAGGTAAGATATTTGTTGTTCATAACGTCTTCACAGAACCCCACTTAACAACAGCTGAACTGGTTTTAGTGGAACTCACCTTGACTGAACACAGAAGTTATTCACCAATAAAACATGGTCATAAACTGCTTACTGGGGGGTCAGACCTGGGACAGGGGCATCTGTTTGGGGCAGGACACGGAGCTGGCCGTGCCCGACCTCCACGTGAGCCCCGTGCTCACGTCGCTGTACATGGAGCCGCCGGCGCCTTTGCTCCCCCAGCAGCAGCGCGTGCAGAAAGTCCTCCACGACTCCACGGTCTTCCCGGACCAGATCCACACCCCGGACGTGATGCCCACCAGAAGGCACATGAAGTACTTCAACATGAAGACCGCGTAGTCCGGACTCCGGCGGTCCTGGTCCAGCAGGCAGCCGGCGCACGTGTGCGTGAGCTCCCAGCTCTGCCGGTTGTGCTGCTCGTAGAAGTAGCACGCGACGATCACGGTGGCCGGGACCGTGTACAGGACCGTGAAGATCCCGATCCGGATCATGAGCTTCTCCAGCTTGTCGGTCTTGGTGCCCCCCTGCTTGATGACGCTCCGGATCCGGAACAGAGACACGAACCCGGCCAGGAGGAACATGGTGCCGATGAACAGGTAGATGACCAGGGGGGCCAGCACGAACCCCCGCAGGTTGTCCAGGTTCTGGTTGCCCACGTAGCAGATCCCGGCCACCGAGTCCCCGTCCACGGAGCTGAGCGCGAGCACGGCGATGGCCTTCATGCTGGGGATGATCCACGCGGCCAGGTGGAAGTACTGGGAGTAGCCCGCGATGGCCTCGTTGCCCCACTTCATCCCTGCAGCCAGGAACCAGGTGAGGGACAGGATGACCCACCAGATGGAGCTGGCCATGCCGAAGAAGTAGATGAGCAGGAAGACCACCGTGCACAGCGCGGGCCCGGTGGTCTCGTAGTGGATGTGCTCCAGGTCCAGGTCCCGGCTGCACGCGACCTTCTCGTGGCCCGCGATCAGCCTGATGATGTAGCCCGTGGAGACGCACAGGTAGCACGCGGACAGGAAGATGATGGGTCTCTCCGGGTACTTGAATCGCTCCATGTCGATGAGGAACGTGGCCACGGTGGCGAGCGTGGACACGAAGCACAGCACGGACCACAGTCCGATCCAGAACGCCGTGAACGCACGCTCGTCGTGCGTAAAGTAGGGGTTGTGGCACGGCATGGCGCAGTTGGTGATTTGTCCCGTTTTGACCCGGTTGTAAAGCGGGTGCCGGTCTGTGTTCACCCGGACCATGGGCTCCAGACACCTGCAGCCCGGCTCGCATGGCGCCGCGGGCGGCTTGGGTTTCCCCGGCGCGCCGGCGCGTCCCGGTTTATTCTTAGTGCCGCCTTTCCCGGGGGGGTTGGTGGGCCTGGACAGCAGGGGGGACACGGTGGTGGACTCCGTCCTGTTGTAGTCCATGCACAGAGTGTCCGGGGTGCCCTGCACCGGCAGCAGGTCGCACCTCATCCGGTCCGGCCACGGGAAACCGTACTGCCGCATGAGGGGCGCGCAGCCCGCACGAGCTCTCTCGCACACGCTCCTGCACGGCGGCAGCGGCTTCTTGTAGTCCTCCAGGCAGATGGGGGTGTACATGCTGCACAGGAAGAACTTCAGGTCCGGCGAGCACTGGATCTCCACCAGGGGCCAGAACTGGTGCACCTCCAGTCCCGCCTCGTCCTGCGTGTCATGGTTGAACTGGTTCGGCATGTAGGTGTAGTTGTAGCCCACCCCCTTGCACAGGGGCACGGCTATTTCCTGGCAGGTGATCTCCTTGGCCGTGGTGCAGCTGGATCGGGGGAGGAGGGCGAGCCAGAGGAGCAGGCAGAACCCGACCAGGTCCATGGTGGTCTTGTGTCTCTCTGTGGCGCTAACCCGGTCCGGTTAGAGGTTCTGGCTGCGCTCCGAACCCACCATCTCTGCCGAGGAGAGGCAAGATGGCTGCAGACACGAGCAACCCGAGCCGCGCGGACACGACCCGCCTCGGTGCTTGTTTTGGTTTCCCTCCCAACACGCGCCTGGTCCCGGCTCGGTTCTGGTTCTCACACAAATCATGGGCTCAGCGTCGAGGCGGTGCTGATATACAGGATCCTGCAGGAGACACCGCCCGCCCCGGAGCGCTCCTCTAATCACAGAGCGGCGGGGGCGGTGCTTCCCTGTCACTCATGCACTGTTTACATCACACGCGCACACACACGCACGTCTGCTCAAATTAAAGGCCTAACAATCATTGAAGGATGAATGCACGTCACCCGCTTCCTTCATGTCAGAAACAGCTCATGTTGAGGGAGGTGCAGGTTATTTGGTCCAACTTGAATAAAACTTCATCTCATGTCGTCAGAGGATGAGCTGAGACAGAGTCAGCTCCCACCACTTCAAACTGCAGCTCAGTAAACTGAGCGACTTATAACCATGTCTGTGTTTGTGCATTAACCATGGCAGCCATCTTGAATCGGACTGACTCCAAACGTTAATCAGTTGCAGATGCATATCCATCGACTGTTTTCTAAAAGTCTCAATAAAATTGGTCGTGTGGTACATGAAATATTTTGCTAACGGACAAACATCCAAAATTGAATGCCAGAGATGTGAGCAAATTTCTCCTGCAATGAGGAGCGCTTTAGGTATCTTCTGTAGAACATTCTCATCTACTAACATGCAAAATATTACAGCAATATTAATGAAATGAGCTGAGTTCAGTTTTATGGGTTTCTCAGGTCAGTTGGCAGCGCTGGATGAACTCCACATGTTCATCAGGTGCAGATGAGCAGTAGTCCCTCACTACTTCACGGTTTGACTTCCGTGGACACGCTCTATCACAGTTTGTGGACGTACAGTCCATAATATTGTACAAAAAATAATAATGGACACATGACTGTTAACTTTAATAATACTCACGTGACTGGGACAGTACTGAATACAGTACTGGACTGTAAAAAGTTAACGAAAAAATAAAGTACTTCAGACAGGTGCTGTTGTTTGTAGTTTTCTCTCAGTAAGCCTCCACTGTATTCCCACTCATAACAACCACATTTCCCAGAAGGCATCAGGGCCCTGCCCAGAAGCCCCGTTTTCCTTCTGAAAAACCAGAGGTAAAGTTTTGATCTGCTCGGCGCCCAGCGGATGCAGAGAAGCCGCACTGAACCCACCGAACCAGACCAGAACCAGACCTCCAGACCCATCGGTGAATCTTGAGAGCTGGGAGCTGGCCCACGAGGACCTCTAAGTGCTAGAGTTGCATTTGGGCCCAAAAAAATCTGATTCGACGGGGTCCCAGCCCACAGTCATAATTTCCAAACCCCACCCAACCCGACGAATTAACAGTAATTACTGGTCCGAACCTGGAAAAAAACCAACATTTTAAATTAGTTATTAACGATCGGAGACATGCAGTTGAGTAAAAGCGTCAGAAGATTCGGAGCTGAGGGTGTTTGTCCTTTCATGGCTGTAAAAAGCATTTAAACCCAGTTTCTGCTGCATTCTTCTGAATTACTGAGACACACGTCTGCTTTGGGATCTCACCTGTTTGTGTCGTCGACCGCACGTGTCCGCTGAGTGCAGCGGCACAACGAACGTCCATTTGGGTGATGGATCGCTGCCTGGCAGTACAGTCCATCTGAAGCTTCACAACTTTTTACCTTTTTCAAGACCGGTCAGCTCGCGGTGAAATGGCCGCGTGCGGCTGGTGGAGGTATGGCAGGCCATGTTATCATATAATTGGATTGCAGCTGATCCTGACCTAATTAAAAGCCCGAGACCGGTCCAGCCCACCCATTAATCACATTGTAACAGCCCGGCCCTAATCCGGGTCGGTTCAGGCCAGGTTTTGGGTTCAGGTTAGAAATTACAACTCTACTAAGCGTGGACGCACGTAGAAAGCTCCAGCGCTGTTTCCATAGCCCATCAGGACTTTTTCCATCCAGACTTGGACTCAAATTGACCACCTCCAGTCCCACACCACCCAACAGAAGGTCTCCCCCCCACCCCCCATGTGCTTCGACGCTCAAGAGCTGCACTGAATTGGACCAGAACCGAACCTCCAGACTCAGTGGTGAACCCGAGAGCAAGTAACATTTATTAGCTACATATAAGTCTGTTGTTAAAATTAGTAGGTTTAAGAGTTTAGAACATTACTTTACTAATTTGCTTTTGTATGTATTATTTTGTATGTATTATTTTGTATGTATTATTTTGTATGTATTATTTTGCATGTATTATTTTGCATGTATTATTTTGTATGTATTATTTTGTATGTATTATTTTGTATGTGTATGTTTCTGTTCAGTGCCCTGAGATGACCTCTGTTTTGATTTGGTGCCATTTAAATAAACTGAACTGAACTGAACTGAATTGTGAGCTTCATCGCTGCAGGGAACGTCTGCAGAAACAGAACAGAGTTGGACCAGAACTCCTGTTCTGCAGAGCTGGTGAGTAAAATTTAGTAGCTACACATACAGTATTGTACATATGTTGTTAAACTGATCTAGTTTTAAGAATTTAGAACATAGCAAGAGTGTGGGTTTCTAAAACCTTAATATATATATAAATACTAAAATAAACATAACGTCGCTATTTCATGGAATTTCACTTACTGAAGGCGGGTTCAGAACCGAACCCCCACAATAAATGAGGGACTACTGTACACCCAATAATTACTTTCTGCTAGTTTTGTTAAATTTTGTCCTGTGGTTACTAAGATAGATTGATAACAGACATGAGAAACTTTACTGCTCCATATAACCCCAGAGAGAGAAGGATCAACTGTTTCTGTCCAGAGAGGCCTGAAGGGTCAGGTTTACTAAACCGGCTCATTTGTGGGTGCTCAGACGTCTCACGGAGACTGTCATAGAGAAACCCTTTTTTTTTTTTTCTGTTTTAAACGAGGTACTTATGTTTTCTTTCATGGAGCTCGGCAGGAGGTGTAATTGCACGAGGCAAAGAGTGCGCACAGACCTCTCATGTCCTCAGTCTGACAGGGATCTGAGCTGTAATCCTGCTGTGGTAAATGCCCCCTTCCTGCTCAAATAACCTCTTCTGGAAAAAAAAATCTGCTTTAAGTTTCTGTAAAACATGTTTTTCTGAATGCAACCCACCTTATTCCTAGCCCACATGGTGCCTTGCATGTGTTATGAACGCAACTTCCGAGGCAGACCAGAACCGGCGTTTGTTTCTGTGTGAACAGTACGAACTAATGTAGTTTCTCTGAGCATCATGGATTTAATTTAATCATGTAGGAACACCACCTGTCAGAACTCAAACAGGACAATGTAATCATACCACTGCCTGCTGAGGACGAGGGATGGAGGACGACCTGAAGAAGTGGCTGCAGATTACCGCCACATCTACATTTCTTATTTAGCTTCATCTACTAGCATTTTTAGCTAC